TCCCTATCTGCAATGTTGAATAAGCTACGAAACGATGGTGTTTCATAATATATTATTATTATTATTATTTTTTTGGCCGCAAGGCTGAGGCAAACTTCACAACACCGTTTGAGAAACTATTTTCCTCTCGCAGGCCTGTGGCATTGCTGGGCCCGCTCTTTCCTTTCTACCCAGCAACCTTGTTTGTAGCAGCTCTGTAAAAAAAAGAAAATTTATTCCGCAAGCCATTGCCTGCAACACTGCGGCAAGTTCACTGCGGCTTGGACTTCTTCTTTTTTTTATTATTATTTAAAATACCACAATACACAACTCATGAAACGACCACCGTACCGCAACATCTTTTCCTGCAACGTTGTTGATGATAAAACAGTGATGTCTTATTTTCCTTCAGCAACTTTGTTTTTCCTCCAACACCGCCACTTTGTCCCAAAGCACATGTGTTTTACTGCTTTAAACCCTTTGGCCCTACTTAACCAAGCTGCGGCCTTTTCTTACTATTATTATTAATAATAAAATTTTCTTTTAACAAATTTGGGTAACCAGCATTGCAGACCCACTAGCCAACAACGCTCCGGCCTTTCATTATCTAGCCGACCCTTTTATTTATTATATTTACCTTATTTATTGCGGCTTAGAACACAACATTAGCCAAACGACACCGTCTTTGCCGATGTTTCTACAGCCCCGCGATGCTGTTTTGAACTCCCTGCAGCTGCAAAGCTGCTTTGGCCCCCGCAATGTTGTTGTAGATAAACAACAATGCATTACTTTTTGTTTTTCTCTACACGATGTTGTTTGTCCAACAATGCAACTCTCTTTCCCAGTGGTGTTGTCTTGGCATTATTATTTCAAATAGAAATAAAACCCTTTTTTTTTACAACGTTGTGTTTTCCTTAACGCTGTTGAGAAAAGAGAAAACAACACCGCTGGTCATCTTGAAACTGCCAACCACGTTGTGGCTTCTTTTTAGCGATGCCGCTTGATATATATTTTTATGATATTTTTCTATAACATATTACGTGGCCTAATTTAGCCACATTATTTATATAATAATAGCTAAACAAAAACAGAGTTGGCTTTGGCATAAACCATCCTGCCAAAAGTCCACACCCACTGCCAACTCCAGAGATCAAACCAAGCAAGCCATCCGTAAAGTCCATGACCAATCAGAGTTGGCTCTACACGTGCTGACTTCGACATTTCAAAGTCAATATTGGATTGCAACCTTTCAACTTGTCTAGCTCGACCATCTTTGTTCAAAACTCCATGATCCTGATTTGGCCTAATCTTAGCTTCGCGGAATGGAAAATCATAAGCATTCTTGGCTCTAGACAAGACATTCTCGTTCTTTGGCACCTTTGTCTTGCCAATTCGACCATGCGGCATCGCTTGCCTAGACTGGTCTGGTTTTGTCAGCTTCACACTCTCACCATGTTGGTGGTAGTATGATCGCCGAGACTTTTCATCAACAGGTACGTTGGTATTTTGTGTAGCACGAACATGACTTTTGCACCTATCACACAACAACGTTGCCCCTTTTAAAATTCCACGTGAGTTTGGAGTTTGTTTGGCATTGGCCTTGCCCCCCAGACCACCACTCATGGTTTTGTTCCCAGCCAGCACTGGTGTAGCAACCCCATGTCTGGTTTGATTAAACTTGCCCCCCTGTCCACTCAGTAGAGGCTTTGGGGACAAATTACAATGAGGGTTCTGTTGATTCGTGCCCACTTTGGTGGCATTAGAGTTTTTCACGTGGTCACCACCTCCATCTTGAGTAGTGTTTGTGGTTATCCTAGTTTGATTTTTCATAGAATGGGGTGGATGTGGCAAACTTATTTGCCACTTACGGTGTTGTTTTTCTTTCAACCGGCCATGCGGTGGGATCTCATGCCCTCCTAGCGGCTTAGATTGAACCTCATTGCGATGTTGCTTGGACAACCCATCATACGCGAGCTTGTTATGCTCAACGTGATTGTAACCAGATTGTCCACCCTGATTCCTATTTTCATTCTTATTAGAAATATGTTGATACTGATCTCTTTGTAGTGGCTTCTGCAAGCCACCTCCAACTTGTGTGTCCTTAAGACCAATGTTGTTCACTGGAAAAGACATATTCGGATTCCTTGCTTCTGGCAACAGTGTCGTAGCCAGGCTCATCAATGGAATTTGGTTGACCATGGCTAGTCGATCAACCATTAAATCATCGCACGCAACAGACATGGTTTCAGATTTAAACACATCACAATCATACGTGGCTCTATGTATTGACATACTAAAATCAGAAACACAGTCATCCAACTTATCAAACCATCGATCTATGTTGTTTTCAAACTTATCCATTTTCTTTTCAAGATTATAAAATTGGAGATTTACCTCTTGGTGAAACTCCTTCATGGATTGGCGAAACTCCTCCATGGATTGACGTAGATACAGGATTTCAGCATGTAGCAGTTCTTCCATCCCTTGAGTACGTCTATCTGCCCCGTTCGCCTGACCAACTTCAATGTCGGGCGCCTCCTCCTCCACAGGTACGTGTGAAAGATCACGATCTTGATCTCCTCGACGCAGAGCCGTATTCACATCAAACACACGTGTCCCACCGGGTGTGCCAAATTGTTTCCTCGGAAAAACCAAATGCCACCGCCGGTGCCGAATTCGTTTCCGGCGATGTTGATTCGATGTTTCGCGATGGAAACTCTTGCGGTGCCGCTAATCGAATGCACCGCTGATTCCATTCCGCGACATTGTTTCTTTTTCAACCAAACGGCACCGTTGTGCTTGCCAGGCCTCGCCAAAATCCAAACCATTGTGGTATGGTTTTTAACTAAACGACACCGCTTAGTGATACTGCGGCGTTGTTGATGCCTTAAACGGTGTAGTTTTTAACTGAGCAGCACCGCTTGATTCTACCCGCGACATCGTTTTAACATTAAACGACTTCGCTTCCAGCCTTGCGGTGTCGTTTTCTTTCCCAACCAGCTCCATTTGTTTTTTCTTCTCGCGACATTGTTTTTTATTTAAACAATGTTGCTTGCTAATCCGCGGTACCGTTGGGCTTACTCGCGGTACCGTTTTACTCATCCGCGATGCCGCTTGTCTCCATGCGGTACCGCTTCTCCCTTTCCGACAAGGAAAAACAATAATTATAAAATAAAACTCCTTCTCCAACACCACGCGCGGCCCTCTTTTATTTTCATTAAGCGGTGTCGTTTCCCATGCCGCGGTACCGCAGAGCTTCCTTGCGGTACCGTTTTGCTGTTTCGCGGTATCGCTTTGACTCTCCGCGACACCGACACCGTTTTTTACCCGCGGTGTCGGATTAAATGCCGAAACTCATTAATACGGCATTTAATTCAGGCCAAAAATATTTTAGGTGTAAACAAGATGGCGCTGGAGGGGGCACCAAATCCATTCTTTTTTTATAAGGATGGCACATGTTGATGTTTATAGTTAAATGTTACTGAGAAAATTAGAGGCAGGGATAAACCTACTTTTTGGAAGGACAAACCCACTGAATCTTTTGGATAAGTGATGTTCAATGTCGTAGCTATAATGGAAATGTCAAGATTGTAAGAACTATCAGATTGGCGATGATGCTCGCGATCGGGATTCGCTCACTGATTATCCAGTCCTTTCTCTCACTCACTTTCGCTCTCACTTACTTTTGTTAGAATTTTTTCTTGTTACGAAGTTGATATATATATATGTCAATAGCTAGTTGATAAATTGTAATGAACCGTATGAATTTGCTTTAAGGGCGCCATTTGCAGTTAAAAGCGCGACTCTACCTAAAAGCGGAAAAAGGGTAAAATCGAAAAGCTGTGAATCAAAGCGTAAAAGCGTAAGTTTTTTATGCATCATGTATAATAGTTAAAAATATGTTAAGTACGACATGTATTATGCAAAATATGAGTGCATGGAGTTTAGACAAGTGAATAAATACATGCAATTCATGTCCAAATTAAAGCAAATTCATAACATCTTAACAATAAGTTCATAAACATAAACTGTAACCCACAAACGAGTTAATAACCAAATTCTCACAACATTAGCTTCACATTCTGCCCTTGGTTTCTCAAAGGTTCAATTAGAAACACCACATATACATAATTTAGCAGTAGCATACGTAGGTAAACCAATAGGTTATACGCCTATTGGAAATTATAAGTAGTTTCCTTCATTTTGCTGGATTGGTTTAAATTATTGAGAATGCGTGAGTTGTAATTTGCTAGAAATACCTGCTAGGTTATATGTTCAGGGTGGACTAAGAGTTGAGAAGGGGAAGCATTTACCCACCATTTAGGAGTCATAGGTGAAGTGGCGACGGGGTAGGACAAGATAGAGACAGAAACTAACATGGTGTGGCGCCAGCGAGTAGCGACAGGCGACGACGAGTGCGACGGGTGCTGCTGCGTTGGAGCTATCGAGTACGACGGGCTAGAGCTTCACTGGAAGGTGGCGACGGCGGTTGCGGACTTGCAGCGGCGGCGAATACTTCACTGGAAGGTCGGCTGCGCGGCGGCGCAGAGTGTTCTGGAGATGGAGGATTAGGGATTGCGGAAGAGTGGTTTGGCAACCTCAGCCTGATATCCACCCCCTTTCCCCTTTTTTTTTTGTTCGAAGTGATCAAAATGGCGTCGTTTTTGTTTGGCGGAAACAATTTTCTCCTTTGCTTGGAATCGGATAAAAACGGTATGAAAGCGAGCTTTTATCCGATTTAACGAATTTAACGATTCTACTAACGCTTTTGACTGATTTTGAGTAAAATACGATTTTATTAGTGATTTGAAACGTTTTCCTACCCTAAAAACATAAAATCGTACAATTTTACGCTTTAAAGCGCGATTTTGACTGCACCGTGCATAACCAATGTATATTGGTGATTGGCATTCACCCAAGAAAAAGTAATCCCCTAAAGCCAGTTGCGGTTTCTTAGTTTGAAGAGTACTGCAATATTTCAAATTTAGACTCTCCTGATATTGATAATTATATGTGAAAGCAAGGAATAAAGGGCTTGCCATGCACGGACGGACCCATAAACAAATCAAATAAAAAAAACCAAATATAATTAGTGCTTCTTCTTCTTCCCAGATATTCTCCTTTCACCCTTTACTTCCAGGCGCTGACACGCTAGGGCGAGCCTGATACAGCGGAGGTGGCGGGGTCGGCGGTCTCGTAGATGGTGGTGGTGGCGGAGAGGCTAGACTGGGCGGCGGCGGCGGAGGAGGAGATCCCCGACCTATATATCAAAACAATACACCAGCAGAACGTAATTAATTTGATTAATTAAACAACCAAGGCAATAAGTGACGTCTGAGTACGTTAATAATAACTGAGGGGCAAATGCGTATAAGTTACCGGTTTGGAGAAGGCGACGAGACTCTGTTGGCTGCACCGTCGTGAACAGAACAAGCACCAGCAGCAGAATCACCACCATTTTCTTGCTCTGATGATTAATTACTGCCATCTTTTTCTCTGTCTGTCTGTCTCTCTCTTCCTTCCAATTTGTTTGCTGTTTGGAAAGGAAAATATCAAGTTTGAATTGATTGATGAAATAGAGTGGGCAGAAGAAGGCTATTTATAGTTTATTTTGTCCATGATGAGCATGTTTCTTTAATTTGATTTGTTGACACATGTCGTGTGACTTTTCTCTAGTCATGTAACTAGTGGTTTCGTATACTCTAATATATATGTATTCATCTGTAAGCATATCATTTGCATATATTTTATGATCCACTCGGTTTCGATCGGCTAGCTAATCCGTTTTAAGTCTACAATTAGCTTCCGGTTGTTGTTAATTGTTATATATGAATTTCAAAGACTTAGACTAGTCCAGGTCTTTCCAGTATGTTCCGATGGATTCCCGTCAAATATTATTAAGGCTTTATTTTAAATACAATGAGGGTCATTTTAATTTGGAATAGGGATGAAGTGATACGGTCTGATCGGACCATACATATGATTTTTTAGGGTCTAATCAATAAGTTGGAACATAAATCATAGATCGGATTAGATACTACACGGTTTAGATCAGACTATGCATGTACACTATAATGTGGTACGGTCTGGATCATGCAGATCATTTTGAACAAAAATTAATAGTTGTTTAATCAATTACACAAAAATTCAAACTAATAAATGAGAAAGAATCTAATTTTTCTTAAAACATAAATTCCGACCCACATAATTTTGATATCATAAATCAGGACACGTATTGGGGGAAGATTGATTTCTTCTTTCTCGAATTTGTTTGTGGTCTTACGAGCAAAAATGGGCCTAGAGATATTAAGCCCACTGATGAGGTGAGCACCAATAATACACATGACTAAAATGGGCTTTTGCTGAACACAAAAGTCTCTACTCCAACTAAGCCCACGTTTGGATTAGAGTTGAAAATTGCCCTGACCATGGGTGATCCGCTCCTGACCATTCCTGCAGGTCAAATAAAAAACTAACCCGCCCCGTCCCTCACTCTGAATGACCGGTTAGGGTCAGGTCGGGTTAGAAGGTCAACTATTTTCGGAATATTAAACTTTGATATCTAAAATTATATTTTCTTACAATTTAGTATTTAATTTTTATTTTTTGTATAAATAGGTCCAAATTTTTTGGTTGAAAATCATATTTTGGTATCTTTATATTTTGTCTCTTACGTTTTAGTACTTAAACTTTTATAAGTTTAGAAACAAGTCCAATATGTTAGTATGAGAAATTTCAAAACATTATGGGTCATAGGGTCAAAAAGTGACTCAACCCTAAACTGATCCTGCACAACCCTAAACTTACCCGACCCTCAGGGTCGGACGGGGTCAGTGGGTATCTAGGATCATGCTTACAACTAGGGGTGGGCATTGGGTGGGTCGGGTGGATTTTGACAATAAAATGCACCCACCCGCGCTTAAACGGATTGATAATTTTTAACCCACCACCCACCCACATTTAGTTTCGGGTTGGGTCGGGCGGATGGTGGATGATGCGGGTGGGTTTGTGGGTTCACCCACATCACAATGTATATAATATATAAAGGAGTCAACTTGACATGATAATAGGTGAAGAGAATCATAGAGGGGAACAAGAAGTTGAAATAGGGCGAAAAATGTCGAATTAGTTCTTAAATTGGATAGAAATTCTATTATGAAAGAGTTTTCTACCGATTGAGACGATTATTAGGTGCAAGGAACTAAAGAAAATAATTCCACAAAGGAAAGAGCGGTGATCTAGGCACAAGAATTAGAGGAAAAAGTAAATGGAAGAAGAGGGGATCTCTATTAGGAAAGTTGGCTTTGAGGTTCAAACTCAAGGAGCAGTCCGAGTTTATATCTAACGTCTCCACTCTCCTCTCTCTAGCGCCAACGACTTTGATCTTTTTGCTGTTGGGTTGAGCGGGTCACCCGCACACTCACCCACAACCCACCCACCACCCGGCGGATGGCTCCCAGCGCAACCCGTCACCCACCCACAGACCCACCCACTTAACGAAATTCGGGTCAAATGCGGGTGGGTCGGCCCAAACCCGCGGATGATCCGCCCGCATGCCCAGCCCTACTTACAACCGTAGTTTGGATCAATTCATTAGAATTGATTTACGGTAGCATCTTAGTTTACTAGACTCTGTTTTTTACAGTACAAACCTAGAAAAACCAGAGCAAGGTGGAAGTGGAAGCGCATAAAGGTAAAGAGAATGAATACTGAGATTTTTAATGTGGTTCACCTTGTGTAATGATTACGTCCACATTCCAGGAAGCAGTGAGCATTGTTCCCAGAAGACAATTTAATTTTTGTAAATAACAAAAACAACAACGAAACAATGACTCAAATTTCTGAAGCTACAAAGAAATGAAACCAGGATGTGATCTGTTACAACCTTGCCAATATAGAACCTCTACATCTATATTCTTGCAAACCCAATTTACGTTGCAAAATTACAGCCTAAAGGAAAGCAAGAGCAATATATATAACACAAAGACAGAGACGTTGTAGTTTCATTTTGTAAGGAAGGAAAGTTCTATTAGATGCTGATATCATGCCTTCATTGTTCAAATTTCCTTTTCTGATTACTTCCTTTTCTAGCCTAGTTAAACATGGAATCTTGGTCTAGCTTGAATACCAATCATCGGATTTACTAAGTTGGCAATTCGACCAACAACAATGGTTTATGAATGACGCATGGGAGGAAAATCTCAAAATTAGGGTTAAGACGTAGGTCTCGTTGACGAGCTGGGAGAGTGGTCGAGAGAGTTGCTAACACAAATTATAAAGTGGTTGGAACTATGATTTGGTGTGGTAAAGCGCGGTCTTGACCTTAACAGATCAAGAGTTCAATCAATCCAATAATACAGATAATGGACCAGACCATATTATTCTTAATGATCTACAGTCCGAACCAACTTGTGCGATCCTGTTTGGTCCATAAATTTTCAAACGGCCTAGTATATTTTTCAGCCTTACTCTGGAGTGTGTAGTTGGAGTTTAGATGCTCCTAGGCTTCTCCGCTACGAATCCACCTCAATTGTTCGAATGCCAGAACAAGCTAGAATCTAGCATTCCATTTCGTGCAGACCAGCGACAGCTTCCGGGCTATTTGTGAACCTTTGGGCTGCAAATACCTAGTTTTGTCCCATTGGTCGGTGTGCATTAAGAAACTTGTGGTTTGTTTTAATAAACTTGTTATCTGTTTTAATAAACTTGAAGTATGTTTTTATAAACTTGTGGTATGCTTTATGAGATTTCTGATATGCTTAATGAAACTTGTGGTATGCATTGAGAAAACTTGTGGTTTGCTTCAAGGAGCTTGTGTATGGTGTATGAGGTTTATGCTCTGCTTTAGGAAACTTTGTGGTCTACTTTGAGTTTTCTTGTATGTTTTTATCAATATTGTGATGTGGTGAGATTTTCGTTTGCTTTATAAGTTTTTCTAGTTTGCTTTAAGGTATTTGACTATTTGTGGTGTGGTTTGTTGTGTTTCTATTATGTGTTTTATGATATGTTTCATTATATTTGTGGTGATGCGGAATTAATGCATAACAAACATATGTGTGCGCCCCTATATTTTAATAATGACAAATGTGTTTCTTTCTTTATAAATTCACATGATTTATTATCAACCAGTTCAAATAAAAAAATTATCAAAATGAAAAGCCTGCATTAGTTAACGCTAAATTTAGCACCATTCTAACAAATTGATTGTTACACCCAACGTCCCAACCTTTTTCCTTAACCGACACCTTCGTTGCCAAGTTACTTAGTTAAAAGGTACAAGACCTCGTCTCGTCTCGTCTCGTCACGTCACAGTCACAGTCACAGTCACAGTCACAGCCCTGGTCATTGTCGCATATGGAGATGACTAATTAGCCACGTGATGATCGATGACCGAATCCATATTCTGCGAAAGGACATTCTTTCCTGTTCTAGTTATTCTTTCCCGGTATGAAGAGAGGAAAATATAGAATGTGGATTTGATCGATATTAATGCTATTCTTTCTAGTCAAGCCATTTGCTAGGTAACCGGGAATCAAGCCACTGGCTAGCTAGGTAACCTAACCGGGAATTACGATGTAACCCAATGAGACAAACCAGGACCTATTACTATTTAGACTTGGAAACTGACTCTTCCTTTTGCTTTCTCTTCCGAGCCTCGACTCTTGACTACCGCTAGTAGTAGTATAGTCCCTGCTTCCCTCTGTTCGTGGGTTGTCGCCCGGAGGCTCGGCTCCTCTCGGCACCAGGCTTCCTCTACTCCACTTGGGTATTTCCTTCATTCCTTCGTATCTTCACGCTATTTTCACTGGCATGATAACTTTCCGCCGTTGACGTTTGATTTACAATGCCGAAATTCGCTGCTGGGTTGATCACTGGGGTTTTTCTTTAGGATCTTTGGCCTACCACTGGTTTTGGTTTTAATTCAACAATCTTCTTTATCATCAATGGGGATTGGCGAGTGTACTCTACTATGATTGGGGTGCGGGGTTGCTCAAGCTGATATGGTGAAATTCCTGTAATTAGCTTATGAGATGTATAGAAAGACAAACTAACTGATGTGATTGTTGCTTGCTGATCATGGGTACTCAAAGAAAAGAAAAGAAAAAAGAACAGTCTTTCTGCCAATTTTCTTATGGATTGTTGTGTTGTGTGATTTCAGGAGGCAGCTTCACTCCATGCATATTTGAGAAACTGGCAAGGGTTTGGCAATGGGGAAGACAGTGCAGGTGTATGGATTCCCCTCTGGTGTTACTGCTGAAACAGCTAAAAGTTGCCTCGAAAGGCATACAGGTGAAGGTACCATTGAGGCCCTTAAGATGAGGCAGGGGAAGAATGGTCCGAGATCATATGCTATAGTTCAATTCACAACCGTTGAAAAGGCTGAATATGTTATCTCGCGAAGCAGACAACTTTATTATGGTACTTCGTATCTACAAGTCCGAGCCATGGATCTCGATGTTATACCAAAACCGAGGACGTTTCTTCATGTCATTGAAGGTGTAGTGCTGCACTTCGGATGTCAAACATCGAAGGAGAGGTTCTCCGACCTCTGGCGTGCAACTGATGTTTTGACAAAATTCGGACATGGGATGAGGAAGCTGCATTTCTGGCTCTCTCATCATGGAACTGCTTACAAGCTTGATCTCTCGTATGAGAACATATGGCAGATTGAACTACACCGTCCACCAGGTCAATCTGTGAAGTATCTTGTGTTTCAGGTTCCTCCTGAACTTGATCTATTGCTCTTCTATATAAGTTATTTGTTTGCTTTCTCTAATCGCTGGTGTGTATTTTCTCTGATCAATGCATGAATGGTACATTCATTAAGTTTGCTGTGGTTCATTGACATGAGCTTGATTGCTGATTGTGGTGCTTGTTTTATTTAATGATCTAATACTGTATGTTAATTGCCCTATATACTGTTACAGGATTTTGTCGTTACTCCAACAATGCTTTCCAAAGCCTTGATATCCTATTTAACACAGTAGATCATAGCTTTTAACGATTACTTTTATGTTCTGTCGTCTGACTAAAAGCAATAAATCATAGCATTTTAACTTGTGTACAAGCTTGCTTAGTCCATGAAGTTTGCAGTTCTTATTTTGTCCGTGATTATTAACTCTTTCTTTCTTTGCAGTTGTTTGGTGCACCTCGTATTTTTGAGAAAGATATGCGCATGTCATATAATTCATTCGATGGTCCTCTTTGGAATTTCTTCAAGGACGGTTCTGATGATCAATGGATTAGGACAACTGATTTCACACCATCTTGCCGCATTGGACATGCCTCTTCGCTATGCTTGGAGGTTCCTCGTGATTTTAGGCTTCCGGATCTAGCAGAGAACTTTGCATATTATAAAAGTAGTAACGGGAAGTTTGTTTTAGAGAATGGCAATCCCTTTTCTCAGAATCCGAGCCTTGTTCCAATTGTTGGTCCTCCCCTGAATGTTGATTTACCTTTTGAGATTTTGTTCAAAGTCAATATACTTCTTCAGAATGGATGCCTGCCCGGGCCCGCACTTGATGCTGACTTCTACAAGTTGGTTGATCCGCGACGAGTTCCAATTGTCTGGATAGAGCATGCCCTTGAGAAACTCTATTACTTGAAGGAATGCTGCTATGAACCTTCAAGGTGGCTTCAAGATCAGTACGTAAACAATCGTGCATCTCGGAACCCTCTAAGGTCCCCAGCCATATCACTTGATGATGGTTTGGTGTATACGCACAGAATTCAGATAACTCCTTGCAAAGTCTACTTTGCAGGGCCTGAGGTTAATGTCTCAAATCGTGTGCTGCGCCACTTTCCAGAGGACATCAAGAACTTCATTCGTGTTTCCTTTGTGGATGAAGAGTTGGATAATATTTTTTCCACTGATGTGGCCCCACGTGGATATTCTGTGCAGGATGCTAAGAAGAGAGGAATATATAACAGGATTCTTTCTACCCTTCACAATGGTGTAGTAATTGGAGGGAGAAAATTTGAGTTCCTTGCTTTCTCAGCTAGTCAGCTGCGGGAGAACTCTTGTTGGATGTTTGCTGCAAGAGACGGCCTAACTGCTAATGATATAAGGGAATGGATGGGGGATTTCCGTCAGATAAGAAACGTGGCCAAGTATGCAGCCAGGCTGGGCCAATCCTTCAGTTCCTCCACCGAAACACTAAGTGTTAGTGCAGATGAAGTTGACATAATTCCGGACATAGAGGTGAAAAGTGGGAAAACTAAATATGTATTTTCAGATGGAATAGGGAAGATATCTGCTCAATTTGCTAGGCGAGTTGCAGCAAAATGTAGCTCTTGCAAGGGTTCTGTCCCATCAGCATTTCAGATTCGCTATGGTGGGTATAAAGGCGTTGTAGCAGTGGATCCAACTTCAACGAAGAAACTGTCATTGAGAAAGAGCATGTACAAATATGCGTCCGAGAACATAAAGTTGGACGTTCTTGCTTATAGCAAGTATCAACCTTGTTTCATGAACCGCCAGGTTATCACTCTTCTCTCCACTCTCGGCGTTCCGGATCATATTTTTGAAAAGAAGCAGAAAGAAGCGGTGGATCAACTTGATGCAATTTTAACTGACCCATCTGCAGCACTGGAATCTTTGGACTTGATGCCTCTTGGAGAAACAACCAATGTACTGAAGGAAATGTTGTTGTGTGGTTATAGACCTGATGACGAACCTTTTCTTTCCATGATGCTCCAAACTTTCCGGGCATCTAAGTTGCTTGATTTACGAACAAAAACAAGGGTATTTCTTCCAAAAGCAAGATCTATGATGGGTTGTCTTGATGAATCAAGAACCCTGGAGTACGGTCAGGTCTTTGTGCAGTTTTCTGACTTTGGGAATGATCAGTTTTCGAAAAGTAGTGTATCTAGACGCTGTGTGCTTAAGGGGAACATTGTGGTGGCTAAGAATCCATGCTTGCACCCAGGTGACGTGCGTATATTAAGGGCTGTAGATGTACCAGCATTGCACCATATGGTGGATTGTGTTGTTTTCCCACAAAAAGGGGATAGGTAAGTCTCTTCTTGAATATCCCTACTTTGCACATTGGATTGTGGGTTTTGGGCAAATATGTAGATTTACCTTCTCCATTTGCATTTTTTGTTACAACAACAATATTATCAGTTATGGAACATGATTCTAGATTAACCTAGATAATCAGGTGTTCTGCCAAGTAGGATAACTAGACAGTGAACATGCTATGCTGAATCATCATTTCCCTCGTTCTTAATTCACCAGTACAGCTGGGGTGTGTCTGTGGTTTTATCCCTTGGCAAATTTGTTGTAGCAGCAGTTTCAAACCTCTAGGTGATATATTTCCTCCATGTATTAAACCACGAAAATGTTAGTTACTTTGCCCTCATTTGGCAACTGTAACTTGTCGATCTCAATTGTATGACCTAGTTCCTTTTACCATTTCTTAAGAATGTGCATCATGATATTGATGCCTGGCAGGGAAGCTATGCTAGACATCATGACCCTTACCTTTCTATCTTCATAAGAAAAGTTCATGATTGTTCATGATTCAGGTGGTTCTTTCTATATGGTTGCCAGTCCATTTGACATGAATATGGATATACCTTGTATTTGATTTCTGTCTTAGGAACTTTTTTGTGTTAAAACAATGTCATTCATGCCAGTGGTCTGTGTTCAAATGTCAGGCCGCATCCAAACGAATGTTCTGGAAGTGATTTGGATGGCGACATCTACTTTGTTTGTTGGGACTCTGAACTGATCCCTCCTAAGCAAATCCCACCGATGGACTATACCCCTCAACCAACTGTGCAGCTGGATCATGATGTTACAATTGAGGTACCTTATTCTACACACCATATAGCGAGTATGACTATTTGGTAGTGTCTTACCAAAAGATTCCATCCTTTTCTTTTTTAATATCTTGTTCTGTTGTTGCAGGAAGTTGAGGAGTATTTCACCAATTACATAGTGAACGACAGCTTAGGAATCATTGCGAATGCTCACATTGTCTTTGCTGATAAGGAACCTCTGAAAGCCATGAGCGAACCATGCATAGAGCTAGCACATCAGTTTTCAATTGCCGTCGACTTCAACAAAACTGGAATTCCAGCAGTGATACCTTCTCATCTCCGTGTCAAAGAGTATCCAGACTTCATGGAAAAGCCTGACAAATCAACATACCTATCCCACAACGTCATTGGGAAGCTTTTTCGAGAAGTGAAAGACATTGCTCCTCACACCAGCTGTGTCAAGTCCTTTACTCTGGAAGTGGCACGCCAGTGTTATGACCCTGATTTGGAAGTGGACGGGTATGAAGCCTACTTGGCCGATGCCTTCTACTATAAGAGCAATTACGACTACAAGTTGGGCAACCAGATGGACTACTACGGGATCAAAACAGAGGCCGAAATACTAAGTGGGAATATCATGAAACTATCCAAATCTTTCACCAAGAGAAGGGATTCCGAGGCAATAGGGATGGCTGTAAGGGCCTTGAAGAAAGAGGCCAGGTCGTGGTTCAATGAGAAAGGAAGCAATTTGGATTCTGAAGATGATGATGTGTACGCAAAAGCCTCGGCTTGGTACCATGTTACTTACCATCCAAGTTACTGGGGGGTATACAATGAGGGGATGAACCGGCCTCATTTCTTGAGTTTCCCCTGGTGTGTGTATGACAAGCTGATCCATATAAAGAAGAAGAAGGTCGCTAGAAGGAAGGTGCTGGAAAAGCTGGAATACCAGCTACAACATGGTCTGCGATTGTGAGCAGCATTCTGGTTAGAAAACCAGAGGAGAGGAGGGTTTTCATCTGTGTATATTCGGGATAGATGGCGGGTTAGAGGGTTGTGAAGGAAATGTCTTTTTGTGGGGTAGTCCAAACTCCAAAGCCTGGATAGACCTTGGAAGGTTTCTCATGTTTTGCTTGGCCTTTGGATGTTATTATATCAGCAATTTCAGGTATGTAGATATACGCAGGCTGCCTAGGGTAACATGGCTCTACGAACTGTTTGATATTTGTCCAGCTTATTTTGAAATCTATGCAAAGTTGATGCAGAGTTCGTATCTGTAAAATAACCAAGTAAAGTAGATGAAACTTGACTTCATCCTTTGTACAATTACAAGAGCAACTGCAAATGGACACACAAAGTAGAACCTTTAACATTTCAACTCAGAAGAATCAGAACCATGTCTGCAACGATTTGTCCATGGAAAGATCATCCGTGTCTTCCTGGTCTGGAATTGCTTCGACGAGGCAGGTACCCGTGCATCATTAAGATTCCTAATATCAAACGGCCGATAGTTCAGAAACTAACCAAGTAATCAATCCGAGTTCAACTGCTACAAAATTACAATAGAAGACAGTTCATAGGAGACGAGAAAAGCGATATTGGGTTGCTGACACAGACAAAAGAGCAAAAGTGTAGAAATGAGAAGAAGCTGCTTACGATCTGGAGAAGTTCGTGAGGGATGAGTGGATTGGAACCCGGAAGAGTACTGAATGAACAGGGCAGCCAGCAATGTAACAATGGAGAGTACGATGTTCCTCAAACCAGTGGCCATTGTTTCTTATCTTTGACTTTGCTGCAACCAAACCCACGTTGGTTGTTTTAATAGCTGTGGCTCCAGGATGGCAGGATTCAGTTGATTTAAAAACGTTGGGGGTGCACAAGTTGATCCCTGAATTTCGAGAGAATTCGACCATTGGTCCTTCAACTTCCTAAATTGCACATTCTCGTACCATCAGACTTTGTTTTTATTTTAATGAAATTGATTGATACTTTAATTCCATGAGCAGGAAAGGCAATGTTTGGTTCCCAAAGACAGTTAATACCAAGGTTGTCAACCCGCGGATTGACCCGGACCCGCCCAAAAAACGGACCAATGCAACTCTTTTGACAGTCAGCCCGGATCTGGTCAAACCCGGGAAAACCCGGTCAAACCCGGCTAACCCAGACGGTTCGCCAGTCCAGAGCGGGTCACTTGGTTCTTCTCCTGTCGCTGCGTTTTAGACTGGCGTGGCGACGTTTTGGCCGGGAGAAGGCGGAGGGCAGGGTCTGAAATTAAAAACCCTACCATTCCTTCATCGCACGACCTCTCCTCTCCAACCCGCGGCGCAGCCCTGCCTCCCACCCCACAGGCGCCGCTCGATCGCCATCGCCGGGCCTTGTTCCCCTTCGTCGGCGGCAACTAGCTCCCGCTCCGCTCCCACAGCCGCTCGAGCTCTGTCCGCCGACCAATCTGAGTTTGAGCGCCGCCATCTGCCTTCGACCACTCGAAATCTCGAGCTTGGCCGCCATCAAGTTTCCTCTGCCTCAGGTCGGGTCGGTCTCGTCGCCATCTCCAGCTCGAGCTTGGCCGCCATCAAGTTTCCTCTGCCTCAGCTCGACCTCCTCCCTCTGTTTGAAATTCGAACTCAGATTGGTAAGGGTTTGGTTTTTTTTTTATGAATGTAAGGGTTTGGTTGATTTTATTAATTGATGAATGTTTGGAACCTTTTGGCAGGTGGTAACGCGAATTATATATGTGGAGAAGTTAAATTAATGAATTGTTATTTGTTAGTTAGAGATTGTTGATGTGGAAGAAGAATTTTAGATTTTTTTTTCTTTCGTATAACTATAGTTTGATACAATTTTGTGATATTCAGGTTTTGGATTCAGGATATAAATAAAATATATTGGCTCTTTTCATATTTCAGGGCTAAACCGGGCTAAAACGGGTGACCCATTGACCCATGACCCACTAGCTCGTCCGGGTCGACCCGCGGTTTGACAACCTTGGTTAATACCATAGGAAACCTATAATCTTATATTTTATTGACAATTTTGACGTTTCTATTTTTTTAAACCAAGTATCTATTTCGTGCAAGTTGAAAAAACATAGAAGTGGTTCAATTCTCACACATTGAGTGTTAATTTTATTAGATGAAAGATGAATCTTTCATATACTTTCTTATACATGTTGAACGTTGTGAGGAATACTGATGATTTGTACAACATGAATTCTCTCAAGCAAGTAGTTCATACGAAGAATGAGAAGAAGGCGAGGAATGATTAATAGCATTACTTAGCTTTTACATTACCAAGTGATCCAATCAAATAAAAGTTAAATCTTCCAAAGCATGATGATCTTACTCATCATATAAAGTGAAACAAATAATTATACCGATAAAAAAGTGACAAAAAGAGGCTTGATTATGATAAATTGACAAATCTCGAAAATTTTATTTTGGATGCTATTTATTACAATAATCAAAGTGTTGTTAAACTCAATGGAAGAAACACATTAACTTACTCGGTCGGAATTTATCATTACAAGTACTTTACAATAAAACAACCAGAAATACTACCCGCAAATCACAAATTCTAACAGTTGTTCCAATAAGTCGCGCCAAGCAAGCCATCAGACTTATAGCTTTCTAACTAGCTTGTGAAATCAATCATCCATGGCCGTCGGCGTTTGAGATGTTTCTGCAAGCTAATGATCGAGGGCATCTCTCACTAGCGAATGGGCAACATGGAACTGCAGCAGAGAGGTTGTGTACACATTATATCTGATGGCTTAGTTAGTCCCAATAATGTTAATCGATCGTCTAGTTCTTGGTGTTCATTCGTATAGTTCGGGTGCCTGTTCGTTGACTTTCTTTTCCAACAGTTAGACAATTCTGTTTATTAGTTTTGCAGGGCATATGCATGTCAAGACAAATGTCCTATGCTAATTCAAATGGCTCACATATGTCAGGTGAGTGGAAAGTGGGTCTGTGGCAGACCAGATCGGCCAATTCATCGAGCCAACCGGCCACTTGCTCGATTTCTTTTGGGGTTTAGATGCACCTCCGAAACACACTCTAATAGAAGAACCATTTTTAACATGTCGACGCACGCAACCCATCACATAGAACCGTAGGATGTGTACGTGCACCGTGATAAATGGATTGTATTTATAGATTAGAATTTTTGGATTTGGATTAAATGGATTGGTAGATTTATGGATTGGGATTAAATTAATTGATAAATTGGTTTCATGAATTTATGTGGCATCTAAATATTGAATCAATATGAAAAAGTTGAGGTACCAAAATGTTAAACTAGAATTTTAGGTACCAACACAATTTTCCAATGAGGTAATAAACTGTAATTTGTCAACAACAAATGAAGTATGAATCCATTTAAATAGATTTTATTAATTTGATATTTTAGTGGATTGATTGAAATGGTGAATTGAATACAAAATTGTCAACTACATAACCATGAGAGGCTTCTCCATTGTGAAGGTCAAGAGGAAAAAGGAAATGTAAGAACGCTTATGTTGTGTGAACTGAATATATGTTGCTGATCAAAACCCTGTTATACTGGGGTTGACAACCATGATCCCTTTATTTGGCTTTAAACTTAGGGTTTGTTTGTTTGATGGATTTAGTGATGAATTTGGTGTCATCATGGACTTTTGTCCAAGTGAAAAATAACGATCCCCTTATTTGGCTTTCTGTTTGGCTGGGGTGAGGCGAACGAGAAGACCATGGAGGCCGGAATTTGCAAAGGGAAAGGCGGTGAGATTTGAGATTGAAGTTGCTCGAAGGTATCACTTCCTCCCTACTGTAGTCGAGTTAGACTATCTGGTGGTAATTGAGGGAATGCAAAAGTAGGATGGGGATGATTCGGAAATTGTGGAAATGTATAGAGAAATACGGGTCAAGGCGGAGGAAGTCGGTGGGCTACAGTTTCATTTTGCGGGTTGGGGCACAAACAAAGCGACCCATTTAATGGCTCATACTCTGTGTCATTGGGAGGAAGAGGAAATCTTGTCCAGTAGACCACCTATCTTTTTGATTTCTATCCTCCAAGGATGATTGTAATCCAAACACATTGAGCCACTAATAAATTATACAAATTTTTCTCAAAAAAAAAAAAATAAAATAAAAAACAAACAAATAAATGAAAAATAAATAAAAATGCTTTCAGCACCTCCTGACTAGGGCTGTTAATGAGCCGAGTCGAGTCGAGCTTTGCCTTGTTCATGTTCGGCTTGTTTATAAACAAGCTGAGCTCGAGCTCGACTCATTTATAAATGAGCCGAGTCGAGTCGAACACGAGCCAACTCATTTATCAAATCTTGACAAATCATTAAGATCAAAAGTTCGGCTCGAGCTCAACTCTAAGATAATTTATAATATAAATACCCTAATAGTTATATGTCATATGTGATACATGTGATCACCTAATGTTATGTTATATAAGAAACATATTTGCTTATATATACTCAATGTATTAAAATTTAAACACCATATGAGGTGATATATACAATTTAATAATTATATGCATCATTAAAAAACCAACTCATAAAATATAGATTGATTTTCCCATAAGCTGTAGTTGAGTTGGCTCTCTAGTCACAATGTTGGGACATCTAATAAGCTCAAAACGAGATAGTTCACGAGTTGTATTCCATGAGCCACTTAATCGAGTTACTTCACGAGCCGAACAAAGAAAAGCATACCGGTGAAGGTACCATTGAGACATTTGCGATGGAGGAGCCGAAGAATTCTCCAAGATCATATGCTAGAGTTCAATTCACCACCATTGAAATGGCTGAATACATTACGGTAATTCATATCCACAAATGTGAGCCATGGATCAAGGTGTGCTGCACTTTTGATGCCAATTATCGAATGAGAAGTTCTCCGATCTCTGGCGAGTAACCGATGTTTGGACGAAATTTGGTCATGGAACGAGGAAACGTCATTTCTTTCTCGCCATGGAACTGAATACAAGCTTGACCTCTTGTATGAGAACATTTGGCAGATTGAGCTACACTGTCCACAAGGTCAATCAGTGAGCTATCTTGTGTTTCAGGTTCCTCCTGAACTTGATCTATTGGTCTTCTATATAAGTTATTTTTATCGTTTTCTCTGAGTGCTGGTGCGGTTTCTCTGATTGCTGCATGAATGCTACATTCATTTTAGTTTTTTGTGTTTCATTGACATGGACTTGATTACTGATTTTGGTGATTGCTTTATTTAGCGATCTACTATATTTTTATTGCACAGTATACTGTTTGTTATAGAATGCTGTTATTACTCCAAAGTATCATTCACTGTTACATTTGAGTTATGTTCTGTGTTTCAAAATAAGAGGTCATCAGTTTGTAACTTAGGTACAAGTTGAGTCATGGGATTTGGAATTCTTAACTTGCATGTGCTCACTTTTTCCTTTCTTTGTAGTTTGGCACACCTCAGATATTTCATAACGATGCGCGTATGACATATAACACATATGATGGTCCTCTTTGGAATCCCTCTAAGGACAGCTCTGATGATCAATGGGTTAGGACAACTGACTTCAGACCATCTTGCTGCATTGGACATGTCTCTTCCCTGTGCTTGGAGGTTCCACAGTGATTTTAGGCTTCCGGATCTGGCAATGAACTTTGCAAACTATAAAAGTAGCGAAGGGAAGTTTGTTTTAGAAAATGGTATTCCCTTTCACAGAATTTGAGCCTTGTACTGATAGTTTGTCCTCCCATAGAGCTTGATTTACCTTTTCAGATTTTGTTCAAAGTCAATTCACTTGTTCTGAATGGATGCCTCCCCAGGCCAACACTTGATGTCGATTTCTACAAGTTAGTGAATCCTCTAAGAGTACCAATTGTCTGGATAGAGCATGCCCTTGAGAAACTCTATTATTTGAAGGAATGCTGCTATGAACCTTCAAGGTGGCTTCAAGAGCAGTACACAAAGCATCGTTCATCTCGGAACTCTCCAAGGTTACCAGCCATATCGTTGGGGATGATGGATTGGTATATATACACACAGGCTCCAGATAAATCCCTGCAAAATCTACTTTGCTGGTCCTGAGGTCAACGTCTCAAACCGTGTGCTACGTCATTTTCCAGTGGATATAGAGAACTTCATTCGTGTTACTTTTATCGACGAAGAGTTAGATGACATTTACTTTACAGACTTGGCTCCACATGGATCATCTGCAAATGATACTAAGAAAGGTGCTCTTTATACTCTGCGCAATGGTGTAAATGTTGGCAGTAAGAAATTTGAGTTCCTTGCTTTCTCAGCCAGTCAGCTGCGGGAGAACTCTTGCTGGATGTTTGCTTCTAGATCCAGCCTAACTGCTGATGGTTAAAGAGAATGGGTGGGCAATTTTCGTCAGATACAAAGTGTGGCCAAATATGCTGCCAGATTGGGTCAGTTTTCAGTTCATCGACCGAAGCTTAGCGTTAGAGCATATAAGTTGAAATTATTCCTGACGTTGTGCTGAAGAGTAGGAAAACCAAATTTGTCTTTTCAGATGGAATAGAGAAGATTTCTGTGCAATTTGCCAAGCAAGTTGCAGCAAAATGGAGATCTTGCAAAGGTTCTGTCCCATCAGCATTTCAGATTCGATATGGTGGATATAAAGGTGTTGTAGCAGTGGATCCAACTTTAACTAAGAAATTGTCCTTCAGAAAGAGCATGTGCAAGTACGAGTCTGAGAACACAAAGCTGGATGTGCTTGCTTACTGCAAGGAGCCCTTCTAGTGTGCTCTATAGCACCCATGCTATAAAAAACAAAAAAAAAGGTGACCTATTGAGGAGGTAAACCCACTAAATGACTGGTCCCACATCATTAATGGCAATCTTGTAAATGATGAATCAATGTATACAAGTGTAGGTACAACTTAAAGTTGTACCATTAGTATAGGTACAAGTTTCAGCTGTACCATTGAAGAATTTGTTTCACAAAGTGTAGGTACAACTTAAAGTTGTACCATTAGTATAGGTACAATTTTGAGTTGTACCATGAAGGGATTTATTAGAAAGTGTAGGTACAACTTAAAATTGTACCATGTTATAGGTACAAGTTTGGGTTGTACCATTAAAGAATTTTGAGGAAGTGTAGGTACAACTTAAGGTTGTACCATTAGTATAGGTACAATTTTTAGTTGTACCATAAGGGATTTGTTAGAAAGTGTAGGTACAACTTAAATTTGTACCATGGTATAGGTACAATTTTGGGTTGTACCATAGAAGGATTTTTAGAAAGTGTAGGTACAACTTAAAGTTGTACCATTAGTATAGGTACAATTTTGAGTTGTACCATAAAGAGATTTATTAGAAAGTGTAGGTACAACTTAAAGTTGTACCATTAGTATAGGTACAATTTTGAGTTGTACCATAAAGGGATTTATTAGAAAGTGTAGGTACAACTTAAATTTGTACCATTAGTATAGGTACAATTTTGAGTTGTACCATAAAAGAATTTTGAGAAAGTGTAGGTACAACTTAAAATTGTACCATATTATAGGTACAAGTTTGGGTTGTACCATAGAAGGATTTTGAAAAAGTGTAGGTACAACTTAAGGTTGTACCATTAGTATAGGTACAATTTTTAGTTGTACCATAAAGGGATTTGTTAGAAAGTGTAGGTACAACTTAAGGTTGTACCATTCGTATAGGTACAATTTTTAGTTGTACCTTAAAGGGATTTGTTAGAAAGTGTAGGTACAACATAAAGTTGTACCATAGTATAGGTACAAGTTTGGGTTGTACCATAGAAGGATTTTGAAAAAGTGTAGGTACAACTTAAGGTTGTACCATTAGTATAGGTACAATTTTGAGTTGTACCATAAAGGGATTTATTAGAAAGTGTAGGTACAACTTAAAGTTGTACCATTAGTATAGGTACAATTTTGAGTTGTACCATAAAGGGATTTATTAGAAAGTGTAGGTACAACTAAAAGTTGTACCATTAGTATAGGTACAATTTTGAGTTGTACCATAAAGGGATTTATTAGAAAGTGTAGGTACAACTAAAAGTTGTACCATTAGTATAGGTACAATTTTGAGTTGTACCATAAAAGAATTTTGAGAAAGTGTAGGTACAACTTAAGGTTGTACCATTAGTATAGGTACAAGTTTGGGTTGTACCATAGAAGGATTTTGAAAAAGTGTAGGTACAACTTAAAGTTGTACCAAGGTATAGGTACAAGTTTGGGTTGTACCATAGACCGATTTTTAGAAAGTGTAGGTACAACTTAAAGTTGTACCATGGTATAGGTACAAGTTTGGGTTGTACCATAGAAGGATTTTGAGAAAGTGTAGGTACAACTAAAAGTTGTACCATTAGTATAAGTACAATTTTGAGTTGTACCATAGAGGGATTTGTTAGAAAGTGTAGGTACAACATTAAGTTGTACTATAGTGTATAGGTACAATTTTTAGGAAAGTGTAGGTACAACTTTAAATTTAGTGTAAAGGTACAACTCTAGAAAGTGTAGGTACAATTTTGAGGAAACACGGCTTATCTCACGGCCGTGACATGACCCGTGAAAAGCAAAAGTAGTTTTCCTATCTCCAGACAATCACACGGCTTATTCTCACGCCCGTGAGAATTAACAGATGAGCCGTGAGAGGTACAACATTCAATTCCAAAACACGGCTCATCTCACGGCCGTGATAATGTCGACGGCAACCCGTGAAACCCTCTGGGAAACTGAGAAGTGCGTTTTTACATCCACGGCCTATCTCACGGGCTATCTCACGGCCGTGATATTTCATGAATTACATATCCAAAACCACGTCTTCTTTCACGGCCGTGGGATTTCCAGAATTGGCCGTGAGATTTCCAGAAATAGTCTGCACAGACATGCACCTGTACAACTAACCCTTGTACTTATTATAATGGTGCAAGTAACATAATATACTGTTTGTGAAAACTACAAGCTTATGAAAAGATGAGTCATAATGTTCTTTGAAGCTTGACACGAGCATTACATAGATCCTTCTCTAGTAACTGTACATCATATCAGATGAGATACCCTGTTAACAAAAAGTAAAAAGCAGTCAAAGCTTTACATTTGTCTTATAAAACAAACATCCATAACACGATTAAATTTGTCTAATTAATGCTTAAGTTTAGATGCATGTAGCCCACACTGGTGCATCATAATATTCTAATTGGAAAACATACAAGCACAAAAGCAAACACACATAGCTAAGTACTAAGGACTTTGGTTGGCTCATCTTCACTGCCCATCTTTCTCGTTAGTGTTCTCGTCCTCGTCTTTGTTTTCCTGGATTTGCTCATCTTCATTGTCCTCGCTAGAGTCACTGCTGTCTTCCTCATTGGTCCCTTTGACCTCTTGATTTTTTCCCTTGTTTTGGTCATCGCCATTGCCCTCGTCGTCCTCTTCACTGCTGTCTTCCTCATCGGTCCCTTTGTCCTCTTCAATGCTTTCCTTGTTTTGTTCCTCTCCTTTCTCCACTTGATTTTTTTCCTTGTTTTGGTCATCGCCATTGCCCTCGTCGTCGTCCTCTTCACTGCTGTCTTCCTCATCGTTCCCTTTGTCCTCTTCAATGCTTTCCTTGTTTTGTTCCTCTCCTTTCTCCTCTTGATTTTTTTCCTTGTTTTGGTCATCGCCATTGCCCTCGTCGTCGTCCTCTTCACTGCTGTCTTCCTCATTGGTGTCACTGTCCTCTTCACTGCTTTCCTTGTTTTGTTCCTCTCCTTTCTCCTCTTGATTTTTTTCCTTGTTTTGGTCATCGCCATTGTCCTCGTCGTCCTCCTCTTCACTGCTGTCTTCCTCATCGGTCCCTTTGACCTCTTCAATGCTTTCCTTGTTTTGTTCCTCTCCTTTCTCCTCTTGATTTTTTTCCTTGTTTTGGTCATCGCCATTGCCCTCGTCGTCGTCCTCTTCACTGCTGTCTTCCTCATCGTTCCCTTTGACCTCTTGATTTTTTTCCTTGTTTTGGTCATCGCCATTGCCCTCGTCGTCGTCCTCTTCACTGCTGTCTTCCTCATTGGTGTCATTGTCCTCTTCACTGCTTTCCTTGTTTTGTTCCTCTCCTATGTCCTCTTGATTTTTTTCCTTGTTTTGCTCATCGTCATTACCCTCGTCATCCTCTTCACTTCCCTCTTCATTGATCTCCTCGGTTGGCCTAGGAGATAGTTCCCAAGGTCTTGAGAATTGTTCGTAGTCAATCCTCAAGGACCTCATGATCTGATGGTTGCATTCGATGATGTAGCGTCGAGCTTCCTTCTCTCGATCGAGGCGGGAGAGAATGAGTGCATTTTGCTCCAGAATTTGGGCATTCTGCCGACCCAATGCCTCAAAATGGGATATGTAGCTGTCGGTGGATGGTCCGGCTTGAGTCGTAGTTTGGTGATGTTGTGCAGGTTGTTCCGGAGTCTCCTCGACCATTTGCTGAACAACATGCTCCGATGCGTTTCCCTCATCTGTTGCAAGAGGTCGAGCAGGATGAGGGAGGCCAACAATGCCTACCACACCATTCTCCTTAACCACCAAACACAGACATGATCAATATCAGAAGCATTAGTTACATTTGCTCAATGTTCAAAAGGAACTAGATTAGTAGGCAATCCAAAACTTGCACAAAATCAATCCTAGATTGTTTGAATCCCGACTAGTTATGTTTTAGCATTCACTGTGAAAAGGAAAGTGTTGGTTGGAACATTTACCTTTGACAACAAATTTAGATCCGCAAGGTTTTTTTGGGAGATTGGTTGAGTGGACTGGGCAATGGTGCAATGAGAACCCACCGGATCAATGCCAAAATGCCGAGCTAGCCTTGTGATGTAGGCACCTCCATGGATGGTCTTGATTTGTTTGTTGGAGGTGATCTTCTGTAGGGTTTTCAATATGACTATACCAAGATGAATTGGGGGATCTTTTACCATAGAGAGGAAAAAGTTCAAATCCCGCTTGGTCACACTCCCCGGGCTCCCCTCCCTAGCTGCCACAGAATGAGCGATAATGTTGTGGATGATACGTCACGGGGGAAGAAGATCATTCCCTTTATAGTGGGCAGGGTCAGACTTGTCCACATGGTTTTGTTTTACCGTTCTCCACATAGCATTGACCGATTCTGTTCTTGAATGATATATTTGCTCCGAAATAAAACCATGTCCACCTGTGGTGAGAAATCCTGGTGGGTATATCTGGAGTGCCTCTGTGAACTCAGTGATGCTCATCTGTCTCGCCTGTCCTCCAAGGCGAAAAGTTATGTTGTCTTCGGGCTTGTCGAGGTTAAACTCGGACATTCTCTTGATGGAGAGAGTGCTGAGGAACTCAATGGTAAGCTCTCGGTAGATGACCTCATTGATGGAGAGAACCTCACACCATGCCGGGAGACGGAGGCATGTGCGAACGGGTTCCGCTGCTCCGAGGCGCTCTAGGAGATCCCAATCAAAGCATCTTTGCTGCCCAAATGGGAGGGGAAGGAAGCGCTCCAAAGCCTTCATATGTTCGACGGGTAATTGGAGGAAGCCGTGAAGTCTCCCTCCTCCAAGTTGAGCCTCCGCTTGTGGTGGTGGTGGAGATGGTTGGCGTGCCCGTCCTTGGTTGTTTTTGCGTTGTCGTTTGGGGGGAGTGTCTCGTTCTTGGGTTTGGCGGCGACGAGAAGAAGGAGCCTTCCTTTTAGCAGGTGAGGCTGCTGGTTGCCGGGTTTTTGGTTTAGCTTTCCCCATTCCTACAAAAACCAACTAAGCACATTTAGTCTTTAGTGAATGAGAGGGAAAA